TCCTGTTTTCAGCAAGAAAATATTCTCATGCATTTGCTTCACCTCTGTATTCACAATACTCGGACATCTATTTCATTTAAAACCTTTTGCGGGGGTGGCATTTTGTTTATACCACTTTTGGAAACAAACCTGTCCCCCGAGAACACTTTAGTGCCCGGCCTTTCACCCCAGGGCGTGCAGACTACAACTCACGCCTCTTGAAACGGTGACTTTCTGTAGCCAAACAGTACATTGGTTATGTAAACATATTCATCATTTGATTATAAATATGTCATTAAAGCTAACATACCACAGCTTTTCGCTCGTAATGCCCACGTGTGTTAACGAAAGGCCGTGCACGGTCCACGCCGGCATGGTGCTTTATGAAAAGGCTCTGGTTCTTTTAAAGAAGTGCTAAATAGCTAGTTGAGTCTCCAAACCCGTGGTTTGATGCTGGTTCACATCAGTTTTGCATTGGTCAGCACTAGGTCTCAAACAGCTGTAAGCGAAGAGGCACAGCCAAGTTCATTGGCCCCCTCGAGGTCATGGGGCAACTTTGGTGGAAACAACAGCCAGCTGTTCACGTCCTTCTCGGCCAACAGGCTCAATGCATCCACTCGCCCGTGCCTCGGACACGTTGCTGGAGCGTTGAGATGCTCAGTATTGCTTTGTGCGACAAGTTCTCTGCCACGGGTCACTTGGGGCGCCTGTAGGACAGGTGCCAAGCTGTTCTTACATTCTCCGACCTTGTGTTTCGAGAGAATCCAGCAAACTGCCCGGACACCAGGACACGTTAATCACCAGAACAGCCAGTGGGGGGAGGGCAGGAGAGTCCTTGGAAAGCACCCCGGGTGGAAAGAGAGAGAGAAACTCAAAGGCAGAAGTGGTGTTAGAAAGAAGCAATAATTTAGCAGAGGAGGGAGGGAAGGAAATCGGTGAATTAAAACAGTCTCGGGGCTTTAGCAAGCGAAGACGGGGTGCAGGGAGAATGTTCTGGTTTAAGTACATAGGGATTGGTAGACTGGCCCGATAACGAGCCACCTATGCAGGAAAATCCCTTCCTGACTGGCTAGTGAGCGGCAGGTGCCCACACGCCGCCAGGTTTCCACACCTTCCCGTTGAACTCGACCCGCTTAGCTCGCAGTCTCACCGCAAGCCCGTTTCACCTTCACGCACGGGAAGAAAAACCCAAACAATAAACAACAAGGCATCCGGCTCTCTGGAGTCACCGCTGGGTGGTTTTCCACGTATGGCACGGAGCCGGTGTGAGCTGGCAGGGCAGAGGGAGGCCCTCCCATTGGGCGGCTCTCCGCATCATCCATTTAGCAGAACGGCGTCTTTAGAGAGCTATTGCGGCTGATGCTGGGTAGGAGCCACCCCACCCGGAAGGATGCACTCAACTATGATTTCATGGCATTCAGACGGTTTTCTTCATTCAGCCCAGTGGCCAGGTGGGCGAACAGTATAAGGTTGATCCCTGGATCAGGAGAAAATTCTAGGTCCTGGGTTCGTTAGCAACAGAAGGAAGGCCAAGTTTTCAGAACTGCCTTCAGTTTTAGTTACAGAAGAACGCTGCTTTCGGCCAGGTGCCCAGGGTTTTAAAAACAACCCTGGGGAGATGTTTCGGCCCTCTGCCCGGGAACGCCTGCGAGGAACAGCCAAACTATTTTCTCATGTGCAGGGCATCCTGAAATTTGGTACTTGTGTATCGGGCATGAAAGCCTTTTTTATTGATGGTGTCGTCCGTGCGGAATCGGACCATGAGAGAATCCCCCGCCGAGTAGATTTCCTCCAGGGGCTGTGGGAGAGGAAACAAAACAAAGGTCAGTCCACATGACACACCGCCCTTCCTATTGTGAGCACAGGGGCTGAGGTCAAAGCTCTTATGCATAGGCAGTAGGTCTGACGCGCAGGCATTAAAGCCAAACAGAATGTTGCATTCCTTTCAGCCCCGCGCGCATTTCCCTGTCGAAAGGCCGAGGCGGCATCACTAACAGGGAAAGTCAACTCCAGAGTGGCCACTCCCGCTCTGCTCATTGCGTGGCTGGAGTCGACGCACTTTCTTCCGAGTTTTCACTGCAGAAGGGGCCCCTCTCCCCAGCTTACCCCCCAGCCACAGAAGCGTCCCA